AGGGAGAAATGACAGACTGATTTAAAAGTACCTTCTTTTATTATTTTCAAATTCATTTGTTAAAGAAAGAAAAGAAAATTCAGATATAAATTAATGGGATATGAAACTAAAGTAATAGAAAATGGGCAATGAAATCAAGAGAAATAACTCTGACTTCAAAAAGTTCATTGTCATAAAAAAAATTATTCCATTGCTTTTCACGTGCTTAATAGCAATGTGTCCTCAAGTCAGAAGGAACTAAAGGGCACAAAGGGGCCTAGCTAGCTCCCTCTGGCCCTTTTATAAGGCCACTAATCCCATCCAGGATGATGGAGCCCTCATGGCCTAACAACCTCCTTAAGGCTTCACCTCTTAAAACTGTCTCATTAGGAATCAAGTTTCAACATAAATTTTGGAGGGGACACAAACTTTCAAACCATAGCCCCCTATGATCAGAAACAAGACAAGAATGTTTGCTCATGCTACTTCTATTCAACATTGTCATGGAAGTTCTAACCAGGACAAGTAGGCAAGAAAAGAAAATAAAAGACATCCATATTGGAAAGGAAAACATTCATACTGGAATATGCTCTTGGATTCTGTTTGCTAGCATTTTGTTAAGAATTTTTATGTTTATAGTCATAAGAGATATTTGTCTGTAATTTTCTTTTTTTGTGTGTGAGAGGTCTTTGTCAGATTTTGGTATCAAGGAATGAGTTGGGGATTATTTTCTGTTTTTTGGAAGAGTGTCTAAAGGATTGGTATTAATTTTTTAAAAATGCTTAGATTTCTTTACATTCAAATTGGTAGAATTCACTAGTGAAGCCATCTGAGCCTGGGCTTTTGTTTGTGGAGTTTTTACATTATTCATTCAATCTCTTGTTTAGGTCTATTCAGACTTTCTATACCTTCTTAATTCAGTTTTGGTAGTTTGTGTCTTTCTAGAAGTTTGTCCAGTTTCAGTGCTTTTTTTTTTTTTCATAGGGATTTGAATTATCATCTGGTGTTACTTGCTTTCAGCCTGAAGAAATTCCTTCAGTATTTCTTACATGGCAGGTCTGTTAGCAATGAATTCTTTCAGTTTTTGTTTATTTGGGAATATCTTTATTTCACTTTCATTTTTGAGAGATAGATTTGCTAGGTTAAATCTTCTTGGTTGACCCTACTGCCTCTGGCCTTCATTATTTCTGATTAAAAGTGAGTTGTTAATTTTATTTGGATTTCCTTGTATATGGTGAGTTGTTCAATATTCAATATTTTCTCTTTGTCTTTGTCTAATTTCAACATTTTGACTATGATGTGTCTGGGTGTGGACCACTTTGTATTTACCCCACTTGAACTTAACTGCTTTTCTCAGATGTGTAAGTTTATGTTTTTCATCAAATTTGGGTTGTTTTCAGCTTTTTTAAAAATGTATTTTCTGCTTCTTTCTCTGTCTTCTTCTTATACTTCTACTATGCATTTTTTATTGTACTTCCATGTTTCTCAGAGGCTTTGTTCATTATTCTTCATTCTTTTTTTCTCTCTACTCTTTAGATTGCACAGTTTTGATTAATGTATATTCAAGTTTACCAATTTCATTTTCTGCCAGCTCAAATCTACCATTGAGGCTGCTAATTAATTTATCTTTTAAGTTTTTGTACTATTCAACTCCAGAATTTATTTATTTATTTCTTTTTTTTTTTTTTTTTTTTTTTTT